GGTAGGCCTGTATTGCTTTAAACTTTTCTAAGGTCTTTTGCTGTGTCTCAAAGATTTTGAACTGCTGGGTTTCCATTTTCATTTGTCTGAATGTATTTTTTTTTTTAATTTCCTTTTGATTCCTTTGTTGACCCATTGGTTGTTTGGTAACATGTTGTTTAGCCTCCAGGTATATATGTTTTTGTCCAGTTTTTTAAAATTGATTTCTAGTTTAATACCATTTTGGTCAGAAAAGATACTTGATATGATTCCAGTCTTCTTAAATTTATTGAGATTTGTTTTATGGCTTAATATGTAATCCTGGAGAATGTTCATGTGTACTTGAAGAGAATGTATGTTCTGCTGTTTTTGATGCGGTGTTCTGTGTGTATCTATTGAGCCCATCTAGCCTACTGTGTCCTTCACAGCCACTCCTTCCTTGACTGATTTTCTGCCTGAATGATCTATCTATTGATGTAAGTGGTGGGGTGTTAAAGTTCCCTAGTATGTTCACTTTTAAAACAGCCTGTGAGGTAATTGCAAACTAAGCAATTTACTTTGTAACACAGGTACAGTCTGCTAGAGCAGTATTGTACTTCTTTGGTAACTTTGTAAACAGGGTAATTTTGGGCCACTTTTTAAATCCCTAACAGATAAACAAGTAATTAATTATATAGTGGCTTTTACTGCAAATCATTATGTCGTTTTTTTTTTTTTCTTGTTTTGTTTTTTGTTTTTTAAAGTAAGCTCTACACCCAGTGTGGAGCTTGAACTCATGACCCCAAGATCAAGAGTTGCATGCTCTGGGGCACCTGGGTGGCTCAGTTGGTTAAGCGACTGCCTTCGGCTCAGGTCATGATCCTGGAGTCCCGGGATCAAGTCCCACAACTGGCTCCCTGCTCAGCAGGGAGTCTGCTTCTCCCTCTGACCCTCTTCCCTCTCGTGCTCTCTCTCTCTCATTCTCTCTCTCTCAAATAAATAAATAAAATCTTTAAAAAAAAAAAAAAAGTTGCATGCTCTATGATTGAGACAGCCAGGTGCCCCAGCAAGTTACTCTGTCTTATAGGGGATATAACAATGAGTGGAAATTAGCCCTTCCCCTCAAGAAACCAAAAGCATGTGGGATATAAGACATGTATACCTACAAACCCGACAAAAGAAAAAGCACGTTATACATCCCTAAAAGATATACAGTGTACTGGAGGTGCTTACACAGTAGGGAGAGCCACAGCTAGGTCAGGCAGAAAGAGGGCAGCAGTGTATGAGATAGGCCTCGAAGGATGAGTGGGATTTCAGTAGTGTGGGACTAGCTTATTAATTCAGGAGGTTACAGAGGGGTATCTGACCCCGATCTATGGGCAGTTCACAGATGGTTTATAGGAAATGTTTAATGGAAACATTAGACTATCGCTTCTTGTCCTTTTGGCTAAAATCAAGTGTGGAAAACATTAGACTAGGAGATTGGTAAGTTTTTTAAAAACTCAAAATAAATAAAATTTCAAAAATTCTTCATTTTTTCCCAGGTTTTAAAAAAGTTAATTTTGGCATAACAGGCATCTTTATATTTATAAAAGCATCACTTCTTGAACTCATATTCTCTGAGCTTTAATGGAAATAAATGTTTGGATTATTTTGTCTAAGTACTGTACCATGGTTCTTTCCATAGTATATAGCACATAATTTTTTGTGTCGTATACCAGCACAGTATACACTGGGGAAGCAAGATTCCCTTCTGGAGTTGTATCTTGGCTTGTGACTCTTCTACAGATATTTGAAAGTTAATTTTAATTTTTGTTACATATTTACATATTACATATTTACATAATTCTCATTTGATCCTTAGGAAAACTTTGAGAGATAGGGCAACACTCTTGTTTCATGGGAAGTAAACTTGAGGGTTTTTTGTTTTTTTTTAAGATTTTATTTATTTACTTGAGAGTGAGAGAGAGCATTGGGGGGGGAGGGTCAGAGGGAGAAGCAGACTCCCCACGGAGCGGGGAGCCTGAAGTGGGTCTGGATCCTGGGACTCCGAAGGCAGATGCTCAACCCTCAACTGACTGAGGCACCCCTAAACTTGAGGTTTTATGTGGTGACCAGCCAGGTAGAAAGTAGTGGAATCAGTAGATACCAAATCTAGTGTTCTTTCTGTGTTGCTCCTAGAACTAAATATTTAGGTTAATGCAGTTCTCGTAACTGGAAGAATAGCAAGTATTTAAGCTGTTCGGTTATTAAAAATTATAATATTTTATCTTAAAGCTTTCATAAGGAATGTGAGCTATCAGTAGATATCACTCTGAAACATAGCAGGGAAATGATGAGCTTTTTTGAGATGATGATACTTAGAATTAGCCTGTCATGTTGTTGGAGCACTGATAAAAGAATCACCCTTTTCACATGGATAGAACGGATTTCATACAGCATTTGAGCATTAGGCACTGAATACTTATGTAATCTTTTCCCTCTAGGTGGCTCTCTGAGTCTGTATGGATTTGGACTACTGAGAAATGTGTGCTCTTCTACCTTTATTTTGCCTTCCTGCTCTGGGACTATGCATTACATTTTTTAAGTAATGAAATATGAAACCCATTGAATATGTAACCTCAGGGACTCAGTTTAAAACACATCTGAGAAAGGAAATAACAAAGCAAGTTAGAACAAACATTTGTTTATTACATGCCCTTAAACTTGGGGGGAAAGGAGGAGAGACAGACAAGTGAACGGTAGTGGCATTGCACTGTGACAGGGTCTAGTAAGTAAAGGTTTATTAGATTTCTATAACATACTTCATTTTCTTGGGCTTAATCGTATGAACTCTGTTTCGAGATCATTTTCTTACATATAGGAGTGGTAATTTATCTGTATCTTTTATGTTCCATAGAAAACTTGGTTTTAAAAAAGCGCCCTTTTAAAAAAGGGCGCTTGGGCAGCTCAGCTGGTTGAGCATCTGACTCTTGGTTTTGGCTCAGGTCACGATCTCATGATTGTGAGATGGAGCCCTGCATTGGGCTCTGTGCTCAGGGAGGAGTCTGCTTGAGATTCTCTCTCTCCCTCTGCCCCTCCCCACTTGCACTCTCTCTCTCTCAAATAAATAGATCTTTAAAAAAAAATTTAAAAAGGAATAAAAATAATTACTTGTGATTCTGAAAATTCCCAACATGAAGAAGTGCTTTTGAAGGTGTTGATCAAAATTACAGAACAGGAAGTCATCATATAATGGAATGACAAACTATGAAGGTTAATATTTCAGATCCCTTTGTGTTTATAAGCAAGGATCAGCAATTTTGTTTGGAACCATTTTTGTGTGTCATAACAATAACTTCGGATAATGCATAAAGATTATCCTAGGAGAGAGAAGGGAACACAAAAGAGATGCAATACAACGTTCAGTTAACCAGCATGTGAAAAAGTCATTTCTCATCATTCTAAGTATTAAAAGAATTAAATTATGATAGTGCAATAGTACTAGAAGAAAAGAATTTTAGGGTTTACCTAAAGTGTACTTGTCAGCACTCTCTTTTATTCCTTGACCCTTTTATAGTTTGTTCCACTGTAATATGGCATTTGCCTTCACCACTATGTCAAAAGAACTTAGGGCTGTCTGGGTATTTTTATCTTCCACCCTGGGCAGCTCTTTATTCCTTAATGTGGCTTTCTTCCCTTGGCACCTGTGAAAAAGTCTCTGGCTTTTCCCATTTCTCTTTTAATTATTCCTTGTTATTGTGGGTACCTCCTAAATATTGGTATCTTAACAGACTTTGGTACTTGACTCTCTCTTTTTTTTCTCCATGGACCATTTTATTTATGTCAGAGTTGCAGCTACCACTGATGTGCCATTGCATTTCAAGTCCTTGTTTCCTGCCCATTCCTCTCTTGAGCTCCAAACCAAATCTTCTCCTGCCTGCTAGAGCAGGTCTAGAGTAGGCATCTAAACATTTGTGGAATGTATGAATGTTTAGAATTAGCGTCTCCTTTCCCCTCTAAACCAACCTGTCTTGTCTATTCTCTGTCTTGAAACAACTTCTCAGTATCTAAGCTTGACTTGAAAATCTTTGATTCATTCTCTTTTTCCTCATTCCATATTTACTCCACGAGTATCAGTCCCTATCCAGGCTTGGGAAAAAGACTGACTTGGGTGCACTGCCCCGATGTTCCAAACCTGCTTTGATTGCATTTCAGGCAGGCTTTATTTAGACTTCATCAAAATGCAGTGTAAGTTCCATTTCTGTCTCTTCCGCCCACCCACCCAAGTTTGTAGGCATGTAATAAATATTCTAATTTGTTTTATTATTCTTTTCTCAAATTTATATTAAATTGGCTGACTATTGTTGCACTTCATAGTTTATGCATCTTGCAACATATGCTAATAGAAAGAGTATTTTTGAACCTTGCTCTTGCAAATAAATCCCAAAGATTTAAGTGATAAATCAGTATGGACGGACAGTTCCCAAAAGTTTATCTTTGTAAATCCTTTAGGACTTCACCGTACACAAAAAGTAAAATGGTATACAGAGTGAGAGAGGATAGCAGAAGTATCTCTAAAACATAAGTAGTGCTTGGTACATTAAATGATACCATTTGATTGTAATAGGGTTAGTGGTTTATATGTAGCCAACATAGAAATAGATAAGGTATTATTCTCTTTGAATTGTCTTACATAGTAAATTAATAAATCAAAGTCTGAATGTCTCTTGTGTTTAAACCATTCTCTGTAATATCTTAAGTAAGTATAGCAGGAAACATAGCCTTTTGCACTTGGTTAAGAAGTTTTAAAAATTATTTTTAGTTTGGCATAAGCATAAGTACCTCTCCTGCATTGGGGATAAAATGGAAAAGTCTGTGTTAGGAAAATATTTAAATACAATATTGTGTGCCAGTGTGGTGGCTGATGTTCTTGACCCTAGGAATCACGGCTGCAGTCTGGTCCTTTTATCTCTGGGTAAGGTTGAGATTAATTGAAGAGTTGCTGAAAATGATTGTATAGGTTACCACTTACTTTGTCCCACTTTTTTGTGCCTCCATAGGTACATGGACTATACCGCACAACAGGTGCTAGTTTTGAGAAAGCCCAGCAAGAATTTGCAACAGGAGTGATGTCCAACAAAACTGTCCAGACTGCAGCTGCAAATGCAGCTTCAAGTGCAGCAACTAGTGCGGCTCAGAATGCTTTCAAGGGTAACCAGATTTAGAGAACCCTCCAACAATACACTGGTACCTTCTGACTGTACTTTTTCTCCAGTTACTGTATTCTATAAATATTTTTATGTTCAAAACAGTACACACGGCATGTATATTTCCTGTTCACTTGTGCATGGGCTAAAACCAGAAAAACTTCCTTGTCTTATTATTTACCTAGCAATTTAACATTTTGGTGCCCCCTGCAGAAAAAAAATCACAAATATTCTCCATATTTTTTGGGGGATGAACGTTCAGCAAATTATTTCAGTGGTGACACACTGAAATTAATATGGTACTTATGATTAAAAATGCATTTAGTACTAGCTGCAGTCTTTCAAGAATCTTAGACTTAAGGATTACATATTAGAGCATTAAAGCGATACTTCATTCTGTTTTCCCCATTTATATTGAAAGAAATAGGCCATCAGGGACTTAGGGATTTTAAAATTGGCTTGCTTTTTAGCAGTTTTAGTCACCAGTGAAGAGCCTGTGTGCATTTTGTAGTGGATCATGTAAATTTTATCCTTTTATTTTTGTTCCTTTTTTTCTTTTTTAGAGTAGTTGATATTTTGATATCAATCTCTGATCTTGCATGGGCACCACATTTCTTAAAAGAATTCGTATTTTGGCTTCTGCACTGCTTATGGTTGTAGGATTAGGGAGTTGCTGGTAGAATCAAAGATGTGGTTTTCTGCAGTAGTTTTTTTAAATAAAAATTTATTGGGATGCAATTTGAGAACATAGTATGCAGTGCATTATCCAAAAAAGGGTAGATAATCAATGAAATAGAATGTAGTAATGATAATACTTTTTTTTTTTTAATTTTCAGTATTCGTATCATAGTAGAATATTACTGTATGGAAACTGGTATATTCTTGTGGCTACTCATTTTAACTGAATTGAGATTGTGTTTGGCAGCTCTTTTTTGGGGAGTGTGTGTGTGATTTTTAACAGAGGTATTAAAGTTAGACAAACTCCTTGTCCAAAAAGAACATACAGTATTTCAGGGATTTTTCTTTTAGCCTCTCATCTGTAGTGGGATTAAAAAGAAAAAGACGCTGTTGTTTCACATATACTTGAATCCCTAATTCACCTCAGTCTTTCAATTTTTGAGACAGACTGAACACATTAAAATTTTTCAGCAGTAGAAAAAACATTTAACCTGCACCAAACAAGAAAATACAAATACAGTTAAATGCATTAATTATGACTATAACCACATTAAAATTGTTACTATGCAGCATAGGATTTAATTCTTACAGTATACTTGGTTTGAAACTTTGAATCATTTTTAATACTGATTAAATGACTCAAAGACATTCGTAAAGTCATGATATACTGTGTTTTGGAAGTCATCAGCTAACTTAAGATTGCAGAATAATCAGTGATTTTTTTAACTTGACATTTAAGTAAGGATAGTCTATTGGATTATATTATTTGAGACTGCAGATCCTTTTCAAAAAGAATCAAATGGGCATAAATTCATTCTTTTCCCCAAACCTGGAGATAAATGAATTTAGCGTTGGGGGTGGGATGATGAGTTCTCACTATTTATGAGGGAAGCTTTGTGTGATACTAGGTAACATGGAGCCATCTAGATGGTGTTTACATTTGATTTATTTGGGATTAATTGAAGTAATATACTTGGAAGATATTTCCTTTATTCTGCTTAAAATAGGATTCAGAATATGAATTTAAAGCTGTTTTTATGAGTATTTCTGATCAGTGATAATCTCCCTACTTTCTCAAATAAGCCAGTTCAAGTTTGTCAGATTCTATAATCTTACTGGAAATCTGTTTTATCACAGTGTGCTTTACTGGGTGTGTATTTTACAAACATTCACAACATTAACCACAAAATATAATAGGAGTACTTATGTTCATCATTAATTTATATCTCAAGTCCATTTCTTTTTTCTTTCAACTACAAATGAATATAGAGACTTGAAAAATACTAAGATACTTTCCTTCAAGAATAGGAAGGCTTCTGTCTGTCTTGTAGAAATCCCCAAAGGTAGCATTGTTAAATAGCAAATAATTAAAACCAACAGTACCTTTTTGTGTGTGGATGGGGAAAATGTTTTAAAATCCACTTCCTTGGGTTCATACAAGCTTACGAGAGAAGATTGTTTTTTAAAAAATATAAATGTGCATTAAAATGATGGCAATAACAGTTTGGTAAGGTATGGGGATTTTAAATTCTTACATTCTCTGTTCTCCTAACAATAATGAGTAAATGGTCACATTTTCCAGCAAGAGATTGGCATTTTTTAATGTTTTATATTTAATACTAACATGACCCAGTATCACAGTCATGAAATGGTCTTCATTGTTGTAAGCATCCGTGTCCTTTTTCAGTTTGCAATATTAAATTGTGGCTATTTTATTTAAAACTAAAATTTGAACACTGGAAAATCATTGCTCAGTGATTTGTAATTTGGGACTTGGATTATTTAGGGATGTTTGTATATTTTGTCAATGAGTAATATTGCGCTGCCATCATAAGGAGCGTCATGGTTCTATATAAATGCCCTCCATCTGTCCCTCTAATGTTGCATGTTTTCAGTGGTTTGGAAGTTTTGTATATTTATTGTATTAACACAGAGTGTCTAAAATAAAATGCTGTTTACTGGATGTTAATTTGTCTAATTTTAAACACGATATTAGCATTTCAGAGGTAGAGATTATGCTGTGGGCTTTATGTATATAGAAATTTCACATTTGATTTTTAAAGAATCTATGTATAATTCTATCATGTGCTGAACAAAATAATATAAGAGGCTTCATTAAAAACTGAGCAACATAAAATGACAATTTTTCTGTTGGATTAGACCTTTTAGGTGATGGAACATGAGCTTCACTCATATATTTTGATCACTTCAAGGTCAAAATACACATAGTATCTAGAAGTTAGTCAGATTCAAAATGGAAAACCTGTTTTGTGGCTCAAGTTTTTCCTTGTGGGTTAAAATGGATGCTTCTGTACTAGTATTGTATTGATTAGCTTGAACTTGTGTTCTGTTTCCTAACCTAGCTACCTGTTGCTGTTTTATGTACTGATGAAAGTACCTATTTGTGTATTGTTGGATTTTTCACTTGGGTTATCTAAAGAGGATGTAAAAATCTAAAATGTTCATGTTGAATCTTATTTTGAGAAATATGTGTTAAATTAAAATAGGACCAGCATTTTTAATTTTCTGGGTGTTTTCCAAAAAGTGAGTTTGGATTTTTATTGGATATATCTTCTTCTATAAATCATGTTGAGCTAATGTATAGTTTACATTTTATGGGGAATTTATGTTAAATTGAGTTTATTAGTTTCTGTAATTTATTTGTACTAGCATAATGCTTTTATAGTTATTGCTATGTCTTTTTCTGAAAATGCTGACACATTAGCATTTAATTTTATGTCTTTACTGGTAAAAATCTATGTTTAAACTGTTTATATGCAGAGTTTGTTACAGTTTTGCACATTTTCCCCTGTTAGAATTACTGTGGCCGTCAAACACCATTTCACTGTATTTCCTTCCATTTTTCCTTTAAGGAAAATGTTTAGAGGGATTTTTTGATTCCATGTGATTAAGACCTTTAGAAGTGAAATAAAAGTGGTTAATGTAAAAATAATGGTTAAAAATAAAAAAAATGCCTTACTTTGATAGATTTTCAAGTGCCATAGTATAAATTTATTTAGAATAGAATAATATAGTGTAAAACATTAGAGTTGTTTTAAAAACTTGTTTATTAAACTAAAAAGTTACATCTCAGTTGTTAAATATTATGGAAAGTGAAGTATTTCCACTAGAATTTTTGGGTACATTTTATAAAACAGCGTGCTTTTTGTATTGATGGGTGTTTTAAAACCTTACTTTACGGCTTTGTCACAGTACAGAGAGAGCTAGAAAGAAATCTATAGAAATTTTCTAAACCAGAAATTGCCACTAATCTATACTAGATAAATATCTTTAAAGATTCTAGGAAAATAGGGAAAGACCCTTCTCTAGTGTTCTTACCCTTCCTATCGGTTTCATATTTACAGTTTAACTTTGTGGTTTTGGTAAGACAAAGCCTTCAACCTGTAGAGTTTTCTTTAGCACTGTTTATATTTTCAAATGGCAAGGGAGATAGGAGCCACCATGTAGCAGTGTGTAATGAGTGTTAAATTTTATGTTTATCTAAATCTTGATTTATTTTTCAGCTTATCTTTTTTTTTAATTTTTAATTTTTTTTTTTAATTTACTTAAGTGATGGCTATACCCCATGTAGGCCTTGAACTTAGGAGCCAGAGATCAAGAGTAGCATGCTCTGTGGACTGAGGCACCAGCTAGGTGCCCCATCAGCTCATATCTTTCTGGGCTTGTATGGCTGATGGTATAGTTAAAATCTTCCTGCCACTAAAACCCATTTTTTCTCTAACAGGACAAAAAATAGTTAATCCTCTTCAACTTAGTAATGTTTCATACGCTTGTATGAGAATAGTCTGAATATTATTTTCTCTACATTTATTGAGTTACAATTTGTAGAATCATAGGATGCAAGTTTTATTTTTTAATTCTTTAGTTATTTATAGCCCTTACATGTAATCCTAGAATTCCTCCAGAACTCATTCGATATTTTGTAGGCCAGTGATTCTCAAGATAAATCATAGTTGTGAGTAATTGTTACTGGTAGCAGTTTATGGTATTCTTCAGCTGTTTCTTCAGCCAAAAATCACTGTCTTTTATCTGGTCTTAGTAGTTCCTACAAAATTATAGTCTACACAAAAACTCAGTCCGCTGGTCATACACATTCCTCAAACTAATTTTTTCTAGTTTGAAAGTCATATATACCTGATAGAAAACAATTGGAAAATAATGAGAAAAAAATATGTAATTCTGTCATCTAGGGCTATCACTGCCAATGTTTTATTGTATTTTTCTATCCTTTTTCTATGCATACATTTTTTTTTAGAGAATTAAGGAATATAAACAGTGTGGATTTTTTAATCTTATTTTCCCTCCTTTAGCATTATGTCATAATGGCCTGATAGTTTAGCTTCTAAAACTAAAATTAATACACACTTCAACATAAATTTTAGAAAATATAAGCAAAAGAAGATAAAGTTGCTCATAATTTTATACCAATAAATAACTGCTATTAAAATTTGGCTTATATGTTTCTATTAATTTTCTAGGAAGACAACTTTTATCCTAAAATTAAAAAATAAGTTTCCCTTCCGCATTCTTGTAATAGGTCCTGTGGGGGTGTTTATCTAGCTCTCATAAGCCTCATCTCTTTGGGCCCCTTAAGACCACACTGGTACAAGTTGTCATCTAGCCATAGCAGACTTAGACTTGGCTCATTAAATGATAAAAATGCACAAGTAGGATTAAACACATAAAAAATACCCTAATAGCTTTCCATTTCCTGTATGAGGCCCAGCAGGTCACCCATATTTCATCCCATTATCCCAGTAATACTCTTGTTTTCTCTCTGAGCTATCTTGAGTTGGTTTCCTATTACTTATAAAAGGAGAATTTAAGTGGTTTGTAATCTTTTTAAAACTATGATATGAATATATGTTGAACTTTTTTCATATTCTCAATATATTTCTATAACATTTAATACCTGTATAGCTACCCTTATATGCATGGGTCATGTTATTTTTTAATTAAAAATTTATTGAGGTATAATTGATGTAACATTAAAATAGTTTCAGGTGTACAACATAATGATTCAGTATTTGTGTACACTGTGAAATGATGACCACACTAAGTCTAATTACCATCCATCACCATACATAGTTACAAAACTTTTTTTTGTGATGATATTTAAGATTTACTCTTTTAGCAACTTTCAGATATTCACTACAGTATTATTAAGTGTAGTCATCATGCTGTACATTATATCCCCATGACATATTAATACTGGAAGTTTGTACCTTTTGACTACCTTCACCCATTTCCCCTACCCTCTATACCCTCCTCCTCTGGCAACTACCAGTCTGTTCTCTGTATCTATGAGCTTGGGTTTTATTGGTTATTTTGTTTTGGGGAAAAAAAAAATTTAATTTTTTTTTTAGATTCTGCATATAAGTGAGATCATACAGTATTTGTCTTTCTGTGATTTATTTCACTTAGCATAATGCCTTCCAGGTCCATA